TCCTCTAAAACGTTAAACTTAGGACCTTTTCTTTTTTTTAAAAAAACAAACGCCGGGGCGAAGCTTCGCCCAAGCGCATATTGCGGACCTAAAAAAAAAAAGGCAGGTGAAAATCGGAAGCCTTGGGCTTCCGAACGGAAGTGGCTCTACAACGTTGGAGAGCGATCAGACAGGGAGGGGGGGTAAAGCGATTACAACGGTTGCACTCAGGATACCACCACTTGGGGACCTAGTGGCAGAATACAACGGTTTAAAGCTCTTTACAACGGTTAGGGACTGAAGGCAGATGTTCGCCGTGTGAACGCCGGTAAGTACACCGATTCCAACCGGCACCTATACCGTTGCAAAAGCCCCGTCTGAACGCACTGAAGTGAAGAAGTACTTCCATTTTATCTGTTCTAAGCCGACCGCTCACCAATGCTCCCTCTAAACTGTGGAGTCTTGTGAGCAAAAATTCCACTTTGTGAGCTACTGGCATTAAAGTTGTGAGCGAGCGATTGGGCTACTGCCTAAATTAGTTTGCTCCTTCCTGAGCTAAGACAAAAGTGTGTGAGCAGGAGGCTAAAAAACTGTGAGCTAGCTCACACTAACTCAGCTTAGAGGGAACACTGCAGTGCGCACCAATTTCATTGCGTGCCCAGGAGTTCTTGAACGTTCTTTCTTGACCTTCGCTATCCCATGCATAATTTTGTAAACCTCTGTCATATCACCCCTCAGTCATAGTTTCTCCAAGCTGAGGAGCCCTAACCTCTTTAACCTTTCTTCACAGAAGAGAAGAGATTGGATTTTTCACCCCACGCTTCACTACCCGAAGGAGTCTCAGAGCGGCTTACAAACTCCTTTCCCTTCCTGTCCCCTCAATGGACAACCTGTGAGATAGGTGGGGCTGAGAGAGCTCTTTCGAGAACTGCCCTTTTGAGAACATCTCTGAGAGAACTTGGGACTGACCCCAGGTCACCCAGCAGATGCATATGGAGGAGTGGGGAATCAAACCCGGTTCTCCCAGATTAGAGTCCGCGCACTTAACCACGACACCAAACTGGCTTCCCCTTTATCATTTCAGTTGCCCTTTTCTGCACCTTGTCCGATGCTATATCTTTTTTCTTTTTTTTTGAGCTGCAGGGGCCAGAACTGTACACAGTATTTCCAAATTAATACTTAATTCCATCTGATTTATGATTTGCAGTGTACCTCTGTGTCCCGACTCCAACTTGTCACCCCCTTTCTGCCTTTTGACTCTGCTGAGATCAAGTTCCAACTTGCCCCGGGGTGAACAGAACGCTCCAGGGAACCCAAATGTCACCGAATTCGTCTCCCTCCCCCACGACTTAGACAGAAAGCAGGGCCTGCATTTCCCTAGGAAACAATGAAGCTTGTTTTTGCCTTAGCAGTTCTGAGCAGATTCACGGGTTTCGTGTTCAGGGAGCGTAAAAGCATAATTCACTTTTATCTTGACACCAGAAGGGAAGGTACCGTTCTCTGGGTGTGCAGAACCAGGAGGCAATAAGGAATTGCGGTTTCCTGTTCTCTGGGGAACAGAAACAATTAGAAGGGAGTCAGCGCTTCTGACAAATGATATAGGGTCTGGTCGAATTTATCAAAGAGAACATAGGAAGGCCTGTTGGGGGGGATCCTTCTCTGGGCCCGGGAACACGTGAAGCTGCCATGTTTGGTGCCAGTTTGGCGTAGTGGGTAGGAGTGCGGTCTCTAATCTGGGAGGGCCCAGTTTGACTCCTCCCTCCTCCCCTCCACATGCAGCTGCTGGTGTGATCTTGAGTCAGTCACAAGTTCTCTCAGAGCTGTTCTCTCATGAACAGTCTTTGAAAGAGCTCTCTCAGCCCCACCTACCTCATAGGGTATCTGGTGTGGGGAGGGGAAGGGAAAGGAGACTGTAAGCCGCTCTGAGACTCCTTCGGGTACTGAAGGGCAGGGATAAACCCAATGTCTTCTCTCTCTTCTCTTTTCTACCGCTACAGACAGACTAACACGGCCACCCGTCTTGATCTAAAGATGCTTAGGGCCTCTCTGCCGTTTTCAGAGTTGACAAAAGGGCCGAAAGGGATTCCCTTTCTTTGGTAGGTCTACAAGAAACCAGGTTTCCCAATCATCAGGGAACACGGTTCTGTTTTGCTTCGACCGACTGGGCACAGAGCCTGTTTGCAAAATATACCACTGCCGGTCACGTCGCTGGCAAACTTGTGCTGGTTCCATGCCCAGCTAAACTACCAACGTACTGACACCACGTTCATACTGTGATTCCTTTTGAAAAATTGTACTCACCGTTATAAAACTTTGTGTGTGATTTTGTACACTGTAAGCATATATAAAAATAATTGCACAGAACACAAATCAGTTTAACTAGAGCTTAATTTTATTTAGTGCCTTATTGCGGTGTTTCTGCTGTTACTTCGTGACCTCCAGGCTGCAGAGACCCCTTGGAGGAAATGGCAGCGTCAACGGGCAGACTCTATGGCAGGGGTGTCAAACATGAGGCCCGGGGGCCGGAACAGGCCCATTCAGGGCTCTTATGCGGCCTACGAGCAACTGGTCCAAGGGAGGAAGTGCTGGGGGAAGGGGCGGAGCCTCTCCATTGTGGCTTTAGCAGGGCAGAACAACCTAGGCCCCGGTCACACGGCAAAGTTGCCGCGGGAGAGGCACGGATGGTGGGCCGGATTATCCGGGTGCAGTCACACCCCAACATCTCGGAAGTGGAGTGCACCGGTGGCTTACCGCCGACAATGCGCCTTAAAAAACTAGTACCTCCAAGGTACTAGTAAACGTTTGCCACGGGCTGCCTCCAGACACCCGTGGTGTGATCTCGCCAGCGTGCAGCATTCCCCGCGCCGAGGGAAGGACCCATGGTGTGCCGCCGGCGCATCTGATCGCGTAATCGCGCATCAAACTGCGCCGGGGTAATTAGCCACGCCTCCCCCCCCCCGCGATATCCGGCCTGTGTGACCGAGGCCTTAGTCTACAGCAGTCAAGAAGAAGAAGAAGAGATTGGACTTATACCCCATGGCCCTTCACTA